GAAAACTTGAAATCGCATCATATGACCCCTTTAAGTCAAAAACAATTGAAAAAGCGAAGTGAGTCAGCCTATGTCTCATTTGTAAGAAACAGAGGGGCCTCTAATTGGAAATGATTACATTGAAAAAAGCATAAAGATGCACAACAGTTACTAACATGCCATAACGGGGAAGGGAATTACCGTTTTTGGTAGGAGAGATAGTCTTTACATAGGGACAGCTGACTATCTGCATCATTGCTACACCTGAAAGAGCGTATAAGCAAGCAAAGAATGTTGGAAAAGACACAAACATACGTCAACTACTGCTTCCAGGTGTAAGGAGAGCAAATACTAACTCATTTATAATGTAAACACTACAGTATCTCCTACAGTGCTAGCTGATCTATATTCAACTGAAATTAGGCGATAATGTCAGCCTATGTTGCTTGACAACAAGTGCACATGAAAATGGCGGATTATTGCCATCTATAGAACACTGAATGTCACTTCTGCAACACCACGACATTAATGCAGTAGTTAAGACTGCAATTATCATTTAATATATTACAATAGAGCTTGCTTTGCTTTCTAGAACCATTTTTGCCATACAACTTCACTAAAGATGTTTGGCAACTGTAAGCAGTGAAGAAAAACAAAGGCATCTTTTAGAGCCTACAGGTTCCAGTCAAACTACAGACATGCACTGGGGATAGTGTGAAAAAGCCAGAAAGACAAGAAACAGAGGAGAGAAAGGCAATCGCATACTAGAGCAGAAGAATTCTTAACAGGGTACAGATGATTCAACAAGTTCAAAGGTCAAACCTACCAGGCAGCGGAATGGGCATGCCAGGCAGGGGCACTCTGAAGGGTGGCACCATGACAGGAGGGAAACCTGGCATTGGAGCAGCGGCCTGTGGCACAGTATGGGGCAACGCCAACGGCAGAGGTGGCGGTCCTGTAGTCATTGCCACTGTAACCGTCGGAGGATTGACAGCTGCTATTGGGGTTGCCATTGCACTGGGAGTTGTGGTTACAACTGACGGCATCTCCACGACATCATGGGCTACAGGTCAAACAATTGGGTACAGAATGATCACAGATTAACTTCTGACACCCAGATAAAATAAACAAACAAATGGGGAACAAAACTTTCTCCACAACCCAAAACAAATTCAGACACCCAGACAAAGCAAACAACAAAATGGGGAACAAAAATGTTCCCAGAATGTGCTTCTGACTCAAAACAACATCTGACACCCAGACAAAATAAACAAATAAACAAACAAATGGGTAACAAAAATTAAACCCAAAATCTGATTCAAAACAATTTCTGACACCCAGAAAAAGAACAAACAAACAAATAAAAGGGGAACAAAACAACATTTTGCAGAATGTGTTTCTAATATATAACTTTTGACACCCAGACAAAGTAAATAAAATATGGGGAACAAACCATGTTATTTTCAGTTTCTGACCCAAAACAACTTCTGACACCCAGACAAAATAAACAAACAAACAAATGAGGAACAAAAATGTTCCCAGAATGCGTTTCTGACTCAAAACAACATCTGACACCCAGACAAAATAAACAATCAAACAAATGAGGAACAAAAATGTTCCCAGAATGCGTTTCTGACTCAAAACAACATCTGACACCCAGACAAAATAAACAAATAAACAAACGGGTAACAAAAATTAAGCCCAAATCCTGATCCAAAACAATTTCTGACACTTAGAAAACTGAAAATAAAATAAACAAATAAACAAATGGGGAACAAAAACTTCTCAGAATGTGTTTCTAATGTCAACTTCTGACACCCAGACAAAATAAATAAAGCAAATATGGGGAACAAAACTTTTTTTCTCAAATGAGTTTCTGACCCAAAACAACTCCTGACACCAAGACAAAAAGAACAAACATATGTGGAATGAAACAAGCTTCTCCAGAATGCTGTTTCTGACACAAAAAGCTTATAAATTATTGGTCAACAAATGAAATCTCATAAAAGCTGTTGCTTAGAGGTCTCATTGGAATTACATTTACCTGACACAGGTGTTGGGAGGAGAGGTGAGGCTGCTGTGATGCTGGGAGAGGAGGTGGAGCTCATGACCATGGAGGGGCTCTGAGAGGTGTGTGTGGTTGTAGTGCTGTTGGCTGCAGCTGGGATGCTGACAGATGGACCAGGCCCGATGGAACCTCCGATGGCTGCTGCTGCTGCTGCCACCGCCTGGCTCAGCATCACTGGACCCAGCTCAGCCTGCTGGATCACCTTCACTCCTTCAGGCTTCGTCCAGGATGATGCCCTCGTACGTGCATTGTAATAATACACCTAAATAATAAGGAAAAGCAAACAGATGAGGACAGGAGATCAAGCTGTTCACATAGTGAACTTCAAAAATACGCATTATGCAAAATCCAATGAATTATGCTTTTATTTATGCAAAACAGAATTTGTAATATCTTGTCAATTGACCATAGAATTTGTAATATCTTGTCAATTGAGTTCGCAAGGACCCGCCCTCCTTAGTTACTGTTGCTATACCCGACAAACAATGCCGCTCTCATTATATAATATACACTAGTGTCCTAAAGTTAGGTTTTTCTGAAGAAAACAGTACTTTTATTCAGCAGTGTTTCATTAAATTGTTTGTAAGTGACATTAAAACATTTGTAATATTACTAATGTTTTCCAGTTTAAATAAAAGCAGTTCTTTTGAACATTGTACTCAAAGAATTCCAAAAAACAAGAATACAATTCTCCAGGTCAAGTGACTGGAATACAACCCAAAACACTTTGCCATGGGGAACAACAATGTCTTTCAATCCACAAAGAATTAGAAGTCATACCTTGCCATCAGGGCTCTTATTCTCCACCCAGATCTCTTCTGTAGAGGGCAGGGAAGGAGGAGCAGGAGCAGGAGTAGGAGCAGGAGAGGCTGTAGGGGGTATTCCTGGAGGGAAAATCATGCCAGGTGGAGGCGGCATGGATCCTCCAGGTGGAGGCATAAACGGGGGTCTCTTAAAGTGAAAAAGAAGTCATAGGTGTCAATGAAACCTTCCCAATTCCCAACATCTTAAAAAGCTGAGGAATTACATAATAAATGGTATCTGATGTAATATTCATACCTGTAAAGGTGGGGCACCCATGGGAGGGGGCACACTGGGGTCAAAGGGAATGCGTCCGAAGGGTGGCCGGGCAGGAGGTGGAGGACCCCTCATCATAGGAAAGTGAGGCACAGGGGTGCTCAGTAAAGGCTGCCTGCGGGTGGAATGGTTGGCGGGTGGAGGGGCAGCGGCAGGGAAAAGGAGTGCTGGCTGCTGAGCCATGCTGATGGAGCGAAAAAAAAACTTAAATAGTATCCGTACAGCACACAACGACTGCTGCAGACAAGACACTAAATAGCAAAACAACACATCGTAACTCATTCTTACGAACCATAACTAGGCCTGTCGCAATAATCAATATATCGACTTATCGCGCAATATATGTACATGACCTCAATCATTTTTGGTCACGCAATATATCGCCCATTATATTTACTTAAAAATTAATGTCACGATGTTTTGTACATTCCACTTGCGCCTGTGTATTTTGCAGCTTCTCGTACATGATGTGGTGTAGTCATGAGGTGCTAGTTCAAATTTAAAAAAATGCTTCTACAAAAAAAGTTTCATCTTCTGCAGATATGGACTTGTTTAGGGATCTGTGTCTTTGTGCATGCGGAGTAGTGATTGTGTTTTTCAGCAATAGTGTGCACCCTTAATTTACAGAGAAAAGAAGGTCAGGGAAAAATCTGCAGATGGAAAAATCTCCATACAAGCTCTTTGTGCATTTTTCTTTTTTTTTTTGTGTGTGTACTTGTTACTTTGCACTTTTTGTTAGAAAATGTTTATTTACTGTTTATTCAAGTTTTTTAAGGCATCTAATATCTTGATACTTAATTTCCATTATCTAAATATTCTTAAAAATTTAAAGTTTGTTGTCATTTGGAAGTGTGTAGGCCTTCTTGCATTATTATGCTATTTGCATTATTATTCTGTTACATTATGATTATATATTCAGTGGCATAAAATGGTCTTTAAAATGACAATAATATAGCAATTATTTCTGGGGTAATATATCGCAAAACAAAAAGTTGTTAACGTGACAGGCCTAACCATAACGCCCATTAAATCTTCCTGAGGTGCCATAATAGACTTTATATGACGCAATTATGTCTAAAAACACGATTTGTAACTTGAAGTGCGCTAAAAAGTCAAGACATAACGATGTAAAAACATTCAGTCGTATGCTGTTATGATGCTTTCATTGTCCACGACCCAACAGGCCACACGAGGCTTACAAGAGATTCAAATTAGCCAAGTGCGAAACGTTATTCAGTGAACTGTTAAGGAAAAACTGAAGCTAACTATAACTGATCGTTTGTGTTAGCCGGTGTATGAAAAATAATGCAAAATCCACACCTGTTAGCGGCCAGGCCAATGCCTTCTGCCTCTGTGTGCTCCGCCATAACGGGAATAAGTTACAACAAAAGTCCCCTCGACGCATTTCCGGTGGAGTCTGGTGTACGGCCGTCAAATGGATGTAAAACATTATTTAAACGTAAGATAATACCTTTTCATTTCACATAGTTTTGAATAACCAATATTTCTGAATTGGTCCTAAATATATTTTCCCCCAAACTGGTTTCATCAGGGTGATTTGTGAAGTGACAAGGGAACTGCACACATAAGATTTTGATTTTAAAAAATTTGTGTAAAATAGGTTATAGGACTCCCTACAATTATAAAACGTATCATATCCGATTTGCTTCTGTTAGTAAAATTCTGGTTGTTGCGTTAATACTTTCTTAATATCTTAAAATCTCAATATTTTTTGATCGATTTTATACGACTTTATCGTTTTGACAGTATTTATTTGTTTGTTTGTTTACACTTTTTTAATGGTTGGATCAATTACCTAAAATATCATACTTTTAACATTTTATCTCTACACTTTTATTGTGAAAATAAGAGCTTTTCTCGGTCCCGGAAGTACACAAACACAGGGCGCTCACGTTGCTTTTTTAGCAATGGACACCATACATGCGTGTTTCAAAGAGAAAATCGGTGAAGTGCTTTTACCAGGAGATGTGTTCTCAATCAGGTTGTCTGAATCTGGAGATGGTAGTATCAAAACCGAAAAGATAATATGCGGTCCAGGGCTCCGGAGAAACGGAGAGGAAGTTCAAGTGTGTAAAAGTGGAATTTTGCGCCATAAACAGCCAAATATGTACTGGATAGACTCTCAGCAGAGACGGGTGAGGAACTGGACTCACACCAGTAAACCCATAGTTTGTGCACTTATTATTTTAGCTCAGCTAATGTTTGTTCTGTTTGAAATTACATTTTGTAATTGTATTAATTCATTTATTTAAAAAAAAATGTTTATTGCTCATTATCATTCTGTTTTTTTTCCTCAATAAAATGCTCCTAATATTCAGAACATGTGTATACTTATTTTTAGCACTTTTCTAAATACAATTTAACAATAAATATAAAAAAGAAAAAGTTTTATAAAATCAAAAAATGAATACATTTTCCCAAAGCAAGCTGTCACTCAGTAAAGCTAAATAGTTCTGTTAATCCTTATTTCTTCCAGTATGTACCAGCCAAAGGTGAAAGTGTGATCGGCATTGTGACTGCAAAGTCTGGAGATATCTTCAAAGTGGACGTGGGAGGAAGTGAACAGGCATCTCTTTCATACCTGGCATTTGAGGGAGCAACCAAGAGGAACAGACCTAATGTGCAGGTACTTTCTCAAATATTTTTAACACTCTGACTGACCCTACTTGTATTGTTATTTCTTTAAGAGCACTGTTTATGTTGTATTATGAATGTACACAATGATATTGTGTGGTTTTGTTCTGCAGGTTGGAGATCTGGTGTACGGTCAGTTCACAATTGCCAACAAAGATATGGAACCCGAGTTGGTTTGTATAGACAGCTGTGGCAGGGCCAACGGGATGGGGGTGTTTGGAGCTGATGGGCTGCTCTTTAAAGTATCACTGGGACTCGTGCGCAGGTTTGTGATTTGTCCATGTAATACAGCTTAGAAATCTATATACTTCCTAGCTTAACTTTAAAAGCAAGACACCCCAGGTGAATGGGGTAAAAATAAAATTAAGTACTAGATTACGTACTATCCTAGTTGATTGTTTACATTAAGATTGAAAACATTTTTTGTATTACAAGTTTCTGAAATGTAGTTTGATTAAATACTAATTAAATATGCACTAATTTGCATAAATCTGAACGTTGAATAAAGCTAGGTTCAAAATCTTGTTTCATTTTGTTGTCATATTAGCGTCAAAGGATTTTACAGATAGGATTTTTGATATCTCTTTTTAGCACTCCACAAAATACCGTCAACAGCCTGAAAAAAAAAAAACATTTTCACCATGTTTTTAGGAAAAATAAATTTAAAATTAAGTTTTTGTGCTACTGAATGGCTATTGTAATGGCTATTGTAATTGAATTAAAATAAGTGTATTTTGCACATTCTGAAAAGCCAAAATCTCAAAATTGACCAGTGCATGAAATGTTTTTGCCTGTTGTGTCTTGCCTACAAGGCTACAGTAAAGAATGTGGTGGTGTTCTTTCCATCAGACTTCTGGCTCCTCAGAGTGAAATAATAAAGGACCTGGAGAAGATTTTTCCCTTTGAGCTGGTTGTTGGGATGAATGGCAGAGTGTGGGTGAAAGCAAAGGCTGTTCAGCAGACGCTGATAGTGACCAATCTTCTGGAGACATGTGAGAACATGACCTCACAACAGAGACAGACACTGTTTAAGAGAGTGGCAGAAGGCTCCCTCTAGAGGACATCTGAAATACCACTTTTCCCACAATACACCTGGTGGCGGCGGACACGCCAAAATTACACATCATCAGTTTTCAGATATTCAAAGCCTCTGGAAAAGTTCAGAAATAACAGAGCCTACAATGGACATCACTTCCTTTGTATTTCCAGTTTTGAAAACAGAATAAGGAAGAGACGTCACCATTTCTCTTTAAAGAAATCAATGCGATTCTAAAAATACACTTTTGTATGAGTAAAAATTAATAAAATTCTGGTGAAACAGCAAATGCAAACTGATTTTTGTTGTAGTGATTATCGTAATAACTTATACTTCATGTTCGCTGTGTTGTTCGTGTCCAGAAGGGAGCACTTTTTCTCCAGTTTCTTTAGCCGGCTTGTGGTTTTGAAAGTTGCTGCTATACTGGTAGTTGCAGGAAATGAGTTAAGATGTTTGGATAAGAGAAATGCAATGACTGTAACCAGCGTCATTTTATATCCAGTTATTGAGAAATACCTCATCCTTTTTTTTACAGGCATGTGGAGCATTAATCATTGCGCTAGTCTACAGCAAGCCTAAGGTGTCAAATATAATTCAGTAATAAATGTGTGTAGATAGTTATAAAGTTTATTGCTTTTACAACACAGATTTACAATACAAATATATAAAAGTCGACAAAGCTTTGTACCCCACCTGTTCTCTGCAACTTTATGTTTATGTAACTAAATGTTACATAACGGATAAAACTGGAATTTTACACTACCTTTCAAAAGTTTGGGGTCAGTAATTTTTTGTTTGTTTTGAAATAAGTATCTTGTGGTCATGAAGGATGCATTTATTTGATCAAACATATAGTTTAAAGCAGTAACATTGTGAAATATTATATATAACTTTTCTATTTTGATAGAATGTCATTTGTTTCTGTGATGACAGAAACATTTTCAGCAGACATTACTCAAGTCTTCAGTGTCACATGATTCCTCAGAAATCATTCTTATATGCTGATTTGGTGCTCACATTTCTTATCAATATGAAAACAGTTGCTTTTGTGGAAAATATTACAGCCATTATGTGATTGATTGATTGATTGAACAACAGAACATTCTAAATAAAGGGACATGAAATATTGACATCAGGTGAAATTATGTATCAATTGTCAGTAGTTTAGTGGTTATTATACAAAAATATTTTACTGCTGAAAGCCATGATTGACTAATCAAATGAAGTACCTGTATGTCAGAGAGGCTTGTTGATTTAGACTGACTAAGCATTTATAGCTTGATTAGTTGATGAAGCTCCTCAGCCATGAGTTCCCATGGGCTCTGACTTTCAGTTCTTGCAAATGAAAGTGGAATTTGCATGAAGATGCTGATCATCATGGAAAGATGTGTCTGGGCACGTTTTCCTCATTGAATGACTGATATATGCAGACGAGTGTCCAAGGCAGTACCAGGGGCATGGAAGATTTGTGTCACTGCAAGAACAATGTATTTGAGCTCCTATTCTACGAGAACACAAATCTGCCTCACATTAGACATGCAAACCACAAAGCCTGCAGCTATTTTTCGATAGTAATTAAGGAGCTAAGCTATTAAGGTTGCAGGAGAAGTATGATTTCTGCCTTTTCTGCAGCTGCTTTATACAATCTGCAGCTAAGTCGCAACACGATGCATTTTCATGTCTTGATTGAAATGTGAATCTCTCAGCTAATGATTTCTCCAAAGACTAACCATGGAGTCTAATGAGACAGGATTGAAGGTGTTGGTCAGAGCCCTTGCCCTATAAAACGCTTACAAATGTTGAGTTTGTTATTCACAAGAAGCATGGCCTGATGTGAACCAAGCCTCAAACAAAAGAGATCTCATAACAGCTAAAAATGAAGAATTGTTGCATAAAGCTGGAAAGGATTATAAAAGTATTTCTGAAAGCTTTCTGTTCATCAGTCCTCGGTAAGATAAATATGTCTATAAATGGAGAAAGTTCAGCACAGTTTATACTCCCTAAGTGGGTGTCCTGCATGAAGACTGAAAGAGCATGGCACAAAATGCTCAATGACGTTAGCTAAAGACAGAAATACTCTGAAAACACTCAAACCTATCTGTTAATGCGTCTATGGTACATAAAACATTTAAAGAGATAGTTCACCCAAAAAATTTCTCACCCTAAATTTGTCCCAAACCTGTATGAGTTTCTTTCTTCTGTTGAGCACATAAGATATTTTGAAGAATGTTGGTAACAAACAGTTGACGGTAGTTATATGAAAAAAAAAAACACTACGGAAGTCAACTGTGAAACTGAAAGTTTTACACTTGTTTAATAAAGACATCAAATCTTTTGTTTTTGTGTTATTTAAACAGACTACAATTTCTTTATTGTTGCAACTTGAAAAGTATCTAATTTTATGACCAATTAATGTGCGTGTTCATGGCAAATCCAGGGCTGTACTTTATATATTCTATGCTACAGGCATTTTGCATACAGGTTCTATATGTTCCATCCCACGCTGTAAAGCATCTATTAAATGTGTCTAAAAATGAACCTGTTTAGACAAGCACTTTTGAATTCTTCTCACTTCATAATTTACAACACTGTGACATGCCAGGTGTGACAGGTGGGCATTCCTCTCTTTTAAATCTAATGAGAGACAATGACATTCAAACATATTCACCTGACAGCCAAATGAAAGGTGAAATATTACCCTGCTTGCATAATAGGAAGTAATGTGCCACAGAAATGATAGAGACTCATTCTCCATAGAATTCATAACATGTAATCTGATTCACACACTATAATTAAAAACTGTTTTTCATATTGGAATTCAATTCAATATCCTTATTGTGATTTAAAGGGATGGTTCACCAAAAAAATTTTTTTTTCCTCCTCTTAATTATTCAAACCTGTGTAATTTTTTCCCTTTGTAATGTGGGGTTTGGGTTTTGTTTCTTGTTCATGTTTTCCATGTCTTTTATTTTGTAATTGTTTCACCCTGTCATGTAATGCCGGCACCGCAAGAGATTCTTCCCAACATGGCCGCCACACAAGAGTCTCGTCACGACATGGCTGCCATTTCAGAGTCTGCTCACATTAAGCCCGAGTCCCCGGCCAAGATGGCCGCCACGCCCGAGTCCCCGGCCAAG